TTTCTTTCTTTCTTTCTTTCTTTCTTTCTTTCTTTTTTTTCTTTTTTGAGACAGGGTTTCTCTGTGTAGCTTTGCGCCTTTCCTGGACCAGGCTGGCCTCGAACTCACAAAGATCTGCCTGCCTCTGCCTCCCAAGTGCTGGGATTGAAGGCGTGCACCACCATCGTCTGGCTGGAGCTTACTTCTGTAGGACTCCACCATATACAGATGACCAACTGAGACATCCAGCCTTGTGGGACTCCACAACTACTACATTCTTTGATTTCTGCTAACAGCTAGCCTTTGTTGGATTAGCTGGACTGTACATCATTCCAATAAATTTCCTTTGTTTATATTTAGAGAGAGAGGGGAGAGAGAGAGAGAGAGAGAGAGAGAGAGAGAGAGAGAGAGAGAGAGAGAGGGAGAGAGAGAAAGAGAGATTCATTCCTTAAGTTCTGTGACTCTAGACTAATACACATGAAGAATCATCTAGGGAAGGAACCAGCTGAAGGGACTCCGGCCAGCTCGAACATGTCCAGCATGGCTCTTGCAGGCCCTGCTTTCTCCCCATTCCCTTTGCCTTGCCAAAAACCGTTCAATTACATTCCAAAAGCTAGGAACCAAGGTCTATTCCCCTGTTTTGGCTACTTCCTCCTCCTGAAGCTGACTACCAAGGTCCAGCTATCAAGGTATTAAAGTCCAGGAATCAAAAGTCCCCTTTGGTTCACATAGTTAACATGCCTAATCAAAACATACCACTGCATCCTAGCCCATTCTAACACAAACCGTCCCTTTTTTCTTTTCTTTTTATTAAAATTTTTTAAATTCATTTTACATACCAACCCAGATCCCCCCTCATACCTCCTCCTGTTCCCCCTACCCTTGACTAACCCCCTCACCCCTCCTCCCCTCCTCCAAAAGGGTAGGTTCTCCCATGGGGGCACAACAAAGCCTGGTATAGTTGAGGCAGGACCAAGCTCCCCGCCCCCACATTCCTTCCCTCTCCCCATCCCCACCACTTCCCATACCCCCCACCCCCCTACCCTCCAAACTCTCCACCCCAGTCTCAAGTCTCAAGGGTAATCAAGGTGCCTGATCATAGGTAATGGGATTTAGAAAGCCAGCTCATGCACCAGGGATAGATCCTGATCACACTGCCAGGGGCCCCTCAAACAGGCCCAACTACACAACTGTCTCCCGTATACAGAGGATCTAGTCCGGTCCCATGCAGATTCCTCAGCTGTCGGTCTAAAGTTCGTGAGTTCCTATGAGCTTGGTTCAATTGTCTCTGTAGAATTCCCCATTATGATCTTGAACCCCCCCTTACTCATTATAACCCCTCTTCCCTCTCTTCGACTGGACTCCCAGAGCTCAGCCTGGTGCTTGGCTGTGGATCTCTACATCTGCTTCGATCAGTTATTGGAAGAAGGCTCTATGATGACAGGGTATTCACCAATTCCCAGGAATCCACAAGGATGACCCCAGATTAGACTACTAGCAATAGTGGAGAGGGTGCCTGAACTGGCCTACCCTGGTAATCAGATTGGTGAATACCCTTTTTCTCTTCTTAAAAATTATACCTGTAAGGTCATTTGCTACTGTTTTTCTGCCTGAGTCAGAAGGCAGTCGCTTTAATTTTTCTTCCTCACTTAAAAAAGGATCTCTCTGTGAAAACAGGTGTTTGTGTGTGGTTTGTGCCCAATCAAGGGTTCAGGAGGGAAGCCTGGTAGTGTGTGGATGGTGGTGGGGGAGGGCTATTTTCTTCACCAACAACAAACCAAAGAAATCATGCCACCTGAGCCTAGCTAGGTCAGTATTTCTCAACCTGTGGGTCAAGGACTCCTTTGGGGGCCGAACAATTCTCTACAGGGGTTGCCTAAGATCATCAGAAAACATATCTTTATATTATGATTCATAACAGTTGTGAAATTACTGTTATGAAGTAGCAACAAAAAATAATTTTATGGTTGGAGGTCACCATAATGTAAGGAATTGTATTAAAGAGTTGTAGCATTAGGAAGGTTGAGAATCACTGAGCTAAGTGAACTAGTAAATTTATTAGCATTACAGACAAGTGTATCAGTAAGGGGTAGGGTCAAGGGTCACTCAAAAGCTCCAAGAAAAATGTTGATCCCAATTCATCATGCATGAGGACTCATGAAAGCTGTCCCTGGATCCCTGCATGACCTAAGGACAGCTCACCTAGTTAACAAATTTTCTTTCTCCAGCAATTGTTATTGCTTATATAATCTTTGGGGGAAGGGCCTTGTACATCTTATAGCTTTCAGGAGTTTCCTAAAACTTGAAAATGGACTTCCCGAGTCTTGTAAGTTTTGTTTACTTCCTTACTCTTCGTGAGTCTCTCTCTAGGATGGAATATGTCAATTGAGATGAAATAACTACGCAACAGCTAACTACGATGAACTCGTCATACCTGTGTTTCCTGCAGAGAATTACATTTCTTTCTCCTTTGTGGTGAAATAGAGCTCCAGTAAGTATGTATCACCTTATTCATCTCTGTGTTGACAGACACCCAAGCTGATCCCATTGCTTGTCTACTGTGGGGAGTGCTGCAGTGAGCATGGGAGTACAGACATCTCTAGATTTCTAGGTTTTCTTTTGCATCAGATCAATGAGGCAGTGGGTGCCTCTTGTCATGTTACCCTGTTACTGGGGCCATTGTTGGAAAACTGTTCCATGTATCATGAAGTTTATTGCCAAAATTTCCCCCAGAATTGTATTATTAGGAAATGTCTGAATCAAGATTCATCAGCTCATTCGCGGTGGAAAAAGGGTCAGGTTTCCAGTGTTGTCTCCCCTCCTCCAGCATTTTCAGGAGATTTTCTTGCATACTCAGATCTTACCTTCATTAACTGATTGATTATTAAAGAGTAGTTAATTAGTAAAAGCAGGGGATGTTGTTGACTCCTGATCAAAGGCCAGCAATTTCCAAATACAGCCGTTGGGGATTTTAATTTTACTTTCTGTATATCGATTAATTCGTAAGTTTTTATTTGATGGCTCCAGTTTATTGTAGATATTTTTCTTTTATATGCGTGGGCTGAACCATCACTGGCTAGAAGAAGCTGCTCTAAGGTGGATTATTTGTCCTCATGAAACAATACTTAATTTCAAAAAAAGTCTTTAATATCATTTTCCGTAAAATCCCCCAATCTCACCTTTTATGCTTTTCATATCACACTCTTGGAACCATTTGCTAATTAAAGGAACCAACATTTATTGATTTACTTTTTTTTTTTTCCTGAACGGCATTTGCAGAATGAATCTGAGCACTAAGTAGTCTTAATAAATGAGCTGTGGTTGCTCCAGGTTCATCAATAGACAAGCAGGATATGGGTTTATTTATTTATTTAGTAATTTTTTTATTAAAAAAAGATTTTCTTTCCTTTTTCATACCAACCCGTTCCTCCTCCCTCCTCTTCATCCATTCCCCCCCTCTACCTACCACTATCCCACCCCATGCCCTCCTCATAGAGAATAAGGCCTTTCTTGGGAAGTTCACACAGGCTATTATACCATATTGGGGCTTGACCTAGCCCCTCTCTCCTGTATCAAGGCTGAGTAAGGCATTGCACCATAGGGAATGGGGTCTAAAAAGCCAGTTTGTGTTCCCGGGGTAAGTCCTGATCCCATTGTTAGAGGACCCACAAACACATCAAGCCACACAACTTGCACCCATATTCAGAGGGCTTAGTTCGGTCCTATGCAGGCTCCCCAGCTGTCAGTCCAGTCCAGAGTACATGAGCTCCCATTAGCTTGGGTCAGCCATTTCTGCAGTTCTTCTCATGATGATTCTCTGACCCCCCCTTCCTCTCTCTCTTCAACTGAATTCCAGGAAGTTGGCCAAGTGCTTGGCTGTGGGTCTCTGCATCTGCTTCCATCAGTCACTGGATGTAGGTTCTATGATGACAATTAGGGCAGGTACCAATCTGAGTGTAGGGGAAGGCTAATTCAAGCACCCTCTCCACCATTGCTATAAGTCTTAGCTGGGGACAATTTTGTGAGTTTCTGGGGTTTTCTGTAGCTGCAGATTTCTCCCCATCCCCTTAATGGTAGACTCTGTCAAGATAACTCTTTCATTGCTCTTCCTCCCTATCTCTCTCCCATGTTCCCACCTCCCATTCCTCCCTCCCCTCCCTCCCCTCTATTTCCCCCTCTCAGTTTGCCCAGGAGATCTTAACCCTTTCTCCTTTCTGGGGCAATCCATGTGTGTTCCTCACCCGGATATGGGTATACTTAAAAGAGGACAATAATCAGTGTGTGGTGGCAAATGCCTTTAATCCCAGCATTTGGGTGGCAGAGGCAGGCAGATCTCTGAGTTCAAGACCAGCCTGGTGTAGAGAGCAAGTTTCAGAACAGTCTTGGCTACACAGAGAAACCCTGCTTCAAAATAATCTAGAGAGAGGGAGAGACAGGGAAAGGAAGAGGGAGAGGAAGGGAGAGGGAGAGAACTTATAAACCATAGCAATTCATTCATCATCTTTGATTTCATCAGTATCTTTTCTTTCTTTGGCTGAGAACTGTAGAGTTGACTGGCATCAGAATAACTGCATTGGTTCTGGTGTGTGGACTTGTGGCACTGAAGTTCATTTCCCTTGATCTTTGCCTGGAGTGGTGCTATGAACTATTTCAACTCTTGCTGTGGTTCTGAGAGCAGCTCTGTGATGCTCTCACTGATACTGACAGCCTACAGCCCCATACTGAGCTGCATGAGTGTGTTCTCTTATATAAAGGGATCTCCTGTGGATGTTTTGTCTGTCCCAGTCTTTGTTTCTCTACCTTCCTGTCCCAGGGCTTCCCATAGTGGCCAAATCATAACAGATTCTGTAGGATCTACTAATCTGGATTAAGGGAGGACTGGTTAGTTCCCATGAGTAATTTTGATCAATGAAAGATGGGGAACAAATCTGACTCCCTCTTCTACTTCACAAATAACTTCTTTCTTTTGGGGGGGTGCTTTTTGAGACAGGGTTTCTCTGTGTAGCTTTGAGCCTTTCCTGGAACTCACTTGGTAGCCCAGGCTGGCCTCGAACTCACAGAGATCTGCCTGGTTCTGCCTCCTGAGTGCTGGGATTAAAGGAGTGTGCCACCACTGCCCAGCCACTAATAACTTCTTGATGCTTTCCTCCAAATGCCCTGCAAAGCCAGGGAAACAAGATGTTCTGAAGTCCTGGTCAGCTTTGCAAAATCTCTCATGCACTGATCTTCTTTACCTTCAAATTACACCTCTGCATCCCTTTATTCTTGCTCTCCTTGTACTTCATTCCCCAAATAAAATGTTTGCAGGGACTTTGATTTTACTCCAAAGTGAACCCATTTTAAAGTCATTTTCCCATTGTTTTATCTGTAAACTATCACAATACAAACTCAAATCACTTTCGACAAAACTACCAAAAGTCATTCCTTCCTCAAGATATAGTCAGTATTATTGAATTAAAATACCCATCTGGTCATACAAACAATTTGGTACTTAGTTGGTTGATTTCTTAACTCCACATTTTAATGTGTTAAACATATTTATGTTCTTACCAAGTCAGACTATAAAGTATAAGACAGAATGTATTCATGGAAGTCATATTTTCTTCTAAACTTCACATTTCCTCTTCCTTCTTTACCTTCAGAAGGATTATTTGTCTGTTTTGATTTAATTTATGCTTTCACTTTTTTTAACCTTTTACTCTTAGAAATATGAACTTCAATGAACATTTGCTGAGAATTTTATATCCATCGACTGTGTGGCAAATATAACAGAGGGATCAGCTACAATGAATAGTTGGCTAGACATTTTTAGCTACTTAGACACATGATGTGATTTACGGAAGGTAAATATGAAGATAAATGAGCATCTCCCCAAAATACAGTGAAGGGAGATAAACAAGTTGCAGAAGCATGTATAGGAGGAATAATTAACTAGTGAAATACTGAATATGATGCAGACACTAGCTATAGATGTGGATCCTCGCGCCTGTCCCATGTTCTGAAGGATGCTCTTCATCATATCATTACAGAGTGACATCTGAATTGAGGAAAGAGCACTGAGATGGTTGAAAGTAACTTAGAGAATGTGTGCCATATATATATATATATATATATATATATATATATACATATATATATGTATATATATATATGTGCACATATATATTTGTCAGAAAATCATTAAAATAAGGAGCTTAGAGTCACTGACAGAAATTCCAATTTTTGTCATCAGAGTACTGTAGGAAAGGGAGATATTAATGACTAAATGTGCAAATGGGAGTCCTGTTGATTTGCTGAGTGGCTCTTCAACAATCAGTGGTGCATTCTGATGCAATGTTAAGTTACAAAAGGCACAGCAAAATTAGGCCTTTATTGCTGTGTATTAATTCTTGTAGCTTTAAATAGAGAGTAGCAGAGACACCTGAAGGGAACTAGTGGTTAAGAGTTCATCATATGGGTTCATCGAGGCACCCAAATATTTGGACCACAGCAGGTATATTCCTGCCCCCGAAGAAGCAACAATTACCCACCCATCGCTGCGTGCGTATAGTGTATCAGGGCTCTTTAGCGGATCAGAATTGTTAGAATCTATACATAGTGAAAAGGGATTTACTTCATTGGCTTATACAATAGGGGTTGGACAGTCCAGCAATGACTACCTGCACTCTGGAGAATCTGAGAGAGCAGTAGCTGCTAAGTCTACAGAGCTGGGCATCTAAGCATTTCTAACTTAGTGCTGCTGTAAGCCTAGAAGATTCTGGGAGAGTTGCTTGTCTTCAGTCTACCTTGGAAGGCCAGAGAAGCTGGAGTCTGATGTCAGTGGAGGACAGAAAGACTATTGCTGAGCAGCAAGAGCAGTCGTAGACTTCCCAGCAAGAAGTGAAGACAGACAAGTAGCAACACTACTTTTCCTTTTCCTTCAGACTTGTCTACAAGTGGGCCACCCTTGGAGGATGCTCTCTACTTGGATAGGGTAATCTCACTTAATCTTTCTAGAAACATCATCACAGATCAGTGCAAATCTCAAATTGACCATCAAAATTAAACCATCACAGCATGGGTATTTCCCTCAACTTCTTGACCTGCTGATCTGGCAGGGGGCATCTGGAGAGAGGCATGGCTTACTTCTGAGTCTAAAGTTCTTTTATATTTTTCTTTCTCACCTTTCCTTCTTTTATTTATTTTTTAATTTATTAGTTCTCTGGGAGTTTTGTATAACATATTTAATCCTATCCAGCCATCTCTTCCAACTCTTTCTAGATCTACCTCCTCTTCCATACTTATTCAAATTGTGTCCTTTTCTTGTTCTTTAAACCCCATCAAGACGAATTTGAGATGCTCAAATATTCTTGCATGTGTGGTCTTCCACTGACGTATCTTCCACTGGCTTATGCTCTTATAGAAAGTCTCTCTCTCTGTCTCTCTCTCTCTCTGTCTCTCTGTCTCTGTCTCTCTCTGTCTCTCTGTCTCTCTGTCTCTCTCTCTCTCT